TGCAGAGTTCTTACTTCAACGATCTCCACAGGAGATGGCATTTTCTTCGCCAGTCACTTTACAACATCTTCAAACATATACATCCCATTCATACCATTCTCCATGTACTAGATATTGGAGGTCACCTAAACCCCTCTCCAATCTAACTTCCATGTAGACACTACGTAGATTGTAAATGAAATCATTACCAGGGTCATTTGGGGACAGTATATTTGTGCAACCATCACTTGGTTTGTCTAGGTAAGCCAAATATGTAAACTCTAAATCAAGCTTTCTCTTTTCTTACTGGACATTAGCAAATACAAATCAGGGTTTCTTTCTTTCCTGTGCTAACACTGTTGTACTGTGGGTAGCTGTCTCAGTGCTAATGACTTAAGTGGCTCCATGAAACTTCAAGGGAAACCTCACCCTAGTATCCCTGAGCTACACGTACAAAACAGGTTTTACTTTGAACGCTTTGTTTTCTATCCTATTCTTTTTGCCCTCTTGTTAGTGTACAAGCCTGATGCATGAGCAAAATGGTGAGAGACCATGTTGATTATACCATTAAATAACCCAGTGACCGTAAACGCAACCAAATATCTTTTAAACTTGATATACCTCTGGCACATTAAGCTATTATTTAAATATACACAGAACAGAGAAACATCAAAATAAGGGAAGAAATTACCGCAACTCGGTCTTAGAATGAGCGATATCAGTTTGCATTGAGACATGCGGAATAGTAATCAATTGGCTCTCGTCTATACTATAAATCGCATGACCACATATACTTCCTATTTGCCGACGCTTGGTGACCAAAATCAAGTAATAAGATTCCAGAAACTTAATGCAACCTAGAAAACACCAAAAGCCCATATAAAAACATAACACAAGGGTCTTCTTAGAATGAACAAGGACGTGAATTTGAATTCATACAAGCATGAAAATGAGGTCTCTAAGACACTAACCGGCGATCCCAAAAACCTTGGCCACAAAAGTGAGGCCTCCGGTGGCACGGTTGCCCTCGGCGATTCTCTGAAGCAGGCTCTTGATCTCCTGCGGCGAGTAGACGACGGGGTCTTCGCTGATGTTCAAATCGTCGGGCTCCGATCTGTCGATCTTCAACACCCGGAAGAACCTCTTGTTCCGATCGCTCCCAATCAAGTAAAACCGCTGATACAATGCACAATCAAATAGTCTCAGAAGAATGAAGAATTGGAAACCCTAGAATTTGGGACAGATTGAGTGGGCACCTGTCTGGTTTCGTAAAGCTTGAATTTCTCGGGGGAGTAGGAGTTGGGGTCGGCGTCGAAGTCGTTGGAGGGGTGGACTTTGGCGGAGGAACGAACGTAGTGGGGAATATTGGGCTTCGAATTCTCAGGCTTCGCCATGTCTGCAGAGTAGATGAAGCTTCGTTGAGAGTTCGACGACAATTCGAAAGAACAGAAATTTTCGATTTTCGATTATATATAGTGTTCGATTGGGAAGCTGAAATGTGAACAAGTTGAACTGAACTTGCAACGTAATTTTTATTGATTTTTTATTTTCTGTATCCTTGTTTTTATTTTTTATTTTTTATAATAATTAGCGATACAAGGCATTGGGGATACTTGGGATTCGACGAAAATCCAAAGCTAACTTATATTTGGCGGAAAAAAAAAACACAGATAACTTATGCATCTCTGGCCTATTTTAATTGGATTTATATTCAGACAAATTAAAATTCTATCACAATCTTTCATAAATTGGTGTGATTGTTTGTAAAATTGTGATGGTGAATTAAATATTATTTTTTAATAACTTATTGCAATTATATTTATTTCATTATTTTTCCGATACCAATTGTGATAGTAATCCATTGAAGTATGTTGCGGAGTCTGTTAAATATATTATAATATTTTAATACTATAGCCGATAAGCTATACTTTTAAAATATAATAAAATTTAAAGAGTATTTTACTAACTATGAAAGAATTTGAGAGGCTAAGATTATTTCTTACTTGTTGTAAGAAAAATGCAAGATGTTGATTTTACAATCTCTTTGCCAACTAGAACAACAATTTCAAACAAAGTTTTGTTGGTATAGTAGTAAGAGAGGTGGTGGTATTCTCTGTAAATATAATATACGTAGTATAGCCGCGCGGCTATACTTTGTAAATATAATATATTTAAAGAGTATAGCCGAGCGGCTATACTGGAGTCTTTTTTTAACTTTTTTTTAATAAATAGTATAGCCGCGCGGCTATACGCTTCAAATATATACTATGACACTTTTTTTTTTATATAATTTTTTTCTCTGATTTTTGTTTATCGATAAGAATAGTTTAGAGCATTATCCATTACGATTGGGCCATTACCCAAGTCTCTATTGTCCCCTTTTAATTTTTTTACTTTTCTAGAGTTATTGCCAATATAAAGAATTTAGCATTTTCTGGTTTAATACTCGTATTATACACATACGTATGTATTTTTCAATAATACTTTTGTTTTTCTTACACATCTTAAAGACTCAGTAAAATACACGTTTACAAAAAAAAAAGTAATCATTACGTACATATTTTTCATGTTTAATATATGTGTTTTTTACAAAATTTCCAATAATACACACAAAACTCACGTATTATACACATAATTTTCACATATTATTGAATGAAAATAATATATATTAAAATATTATATAGTGGCCGAAATTTTCAATTGTAACTTGCCAAATAAAACACGTACGTATTTTATTCATATTTTTCTAGTTCCGTATTTTACTAACTATAAAAAAATTTGAGAGACTAGGATTATTTCTTACTTTTTATAAGAATATTGATTTTGCAATCTCTTAATCAACTAGAACAACAATTTCATAGGTGTAGATATGTTACATCTCCAATTTACACCCTAACTGGGAAAGAGAAAATAGTTGTGTACTTATAATTGGGAGAAAGAAAAAAAAAAATGGGCGCGCTCTCTTGATTGTTACATTCATTTCTAAGCCTATAAAACTGAGGCCCAAAAGAAAAAAAACATAATCATAAAAAAATAACCCTTATCCATTGAAGTATGTCCAGCAAAGATTGCCAAGTATATATATAATTACTTGTAATTATTTGAATGGTCTACTTGTCTTGTGGAAGGCCAAACAGTGGACCCATCAAAAAAAAATTGTGGGTGTGGTGAGAATTTTTCTAGTCCACTCATTCCACCTCAATAATATCTTTGGAGAAGAGACAGCCTAAAGATTATGAGTGTGGAGAGTAAATCTCATGCATTTCTTCTTGGTTTGATAAGAAAGAAAAGATATGATGATCAAACTTTCCATGTCTTGCAACAGTTTGACTCCTCATCCTCATCCTGCAGTACCAATTAGCCCTCAGCTTACCTCAACCATAACAGGCATCGAGCAGAAGAGGCCCAGAGCAGTTGCAGTTTTTGCAGCAAAATCTGGAGGATTTTCACTCAACTCTGTATGATCTTTTTCATTCTTTTTTTCTCACGCTATACCTAGAGCTCATGGCTCATTGTCTTAATTAATTAATTGGTTTTAAATCCACAGTATAATTATACTATGAACATATAATGCCTTAAAATGAAAATTAATTGAGTACCAAGAACATTTTCGAAATTATTCGCACAAACAAAATCGAAAGCAAACTTCGAATTAAATACCTTAGGTGATTTGTTGTTATATTTCATATATATTTATGCAATAATTCTTGTACTCTTTTTCTCGCATGTAGTTCTTGAAAAAGTGTGAAAACTGTGGAGGCAAAGGTGCAATTGAATGTCTAGGATGCAAGGTGCTCTCTTAATTTCACTTCATTTTCATCTCCTCGTACTAACTGTTTAATTTAATCTTCTTCTTTTTTCGTCACAACTAGATCGGCAAAGAATAAGGTTTAAGGTTTAGCCCAGTTCAAAATTAACAACTCACCCTTAAGATAAATCTAGACCACCTCATTTTGAAATCCAAGATCCGTACCCCTCATTTTGTTTTAATGGCTGCTATTAGCATTTTTGTTTGGGACGCAATGCCACTATATCATCTCACCCCTACTCACTTTTCAGGGAACGGGAAGAAATAAGAAGAATGGGAATATTTTTGAGCGCTGGAAGTAAGTTATTTCTGGCTCTAAAATATAAAAAATTAGTTTGGTTCTTTATCTAAAAATATAAAAAAATTAATGAATAGAACAATTTTTATTTGTTGTATCTTTTTTATATTGTCTCATATAAATGAGCTTATTATGCACATGGATTTAGGTGTTTTGATTGCCAAGGATTCGGACTAAAGGGTTGCCCCACCTGTGGACAAGGAGGACTCACACCAGAACAAAGAGGAGAAAGATAAAAAAGAGTTTGAGGAAAGAAAAAGTTACACAACTAATTGTACTTTGCCCTATATATTTCCTCATAAACTTCAATTAGTGAATCAAAGTTAAACGTGACTTTTATATGATGCTGTTGATGCAAGACTAACCGATTAAGCTGATTCTTAAACGATTATCTGATAGGAGAACGTCGACAATTATGTAAAATTCTAAACCAGATCAAAGTAGAAGATTCATGCAGTCTATGCAGCATGCACCAAGAGGAAAGACTCCATGCTGCATGCACCAAATATATAGTCAAAATCATGCCTCACATGCTTGTTCCGAATATTGCCAACATAACTATTGAATTTCATTTTTTCGGCTCAAAACTACACAATTTTCATTGCGATTGTTTTTCCATCTTAATTGCAATCTTTGAAATTTGAAAGAATCTCAAGACACGATGTGAGATTTACACTCATGGCTTGTATCGTGCGCCTATTCACATGTTAGGCTCGAGAGCCACACATGCTCCTACTTAATATAAATTGAAAACATGTTAGGGTGAGGAGATGCCATATGTGAAGCGGCGAGTATCTCACGGTTGAGAAAGCTTTGGTTACTGCTTTAAAAGATCTAACAAATAAAAAGAAGTGAGTTGTTACTACGTTTTGTTTTTGACAACTTGTTCCCAGTCTCAGAGGAAGCAAATATATATTAGTGGAAGCATAGGCGTCAAGGAAAGCCCATTTATTATGATCCCATATTATTCTTCATCAGTGGCAGCATGGATATTGCCACTTAAAAACCATTTTCATGGCAAACCATAATTATTTATATCATACAAGGCATGCCCCATGCTCACTCATTTTAAGTACCAGTACAGATTGAAGTTCCGTCAGCTCTGTAAAGGGTGCAGCCTGCCGGAACTAAGCAACAATTGCAAGATGGAGAAAGCTGCGTATTGCCTGAAGAGGGACAAGTCATATAACCTGCCTGGCCCGTACAATACTGAGGGCAAATTTTGGCTGTGCTTGGATTGATTCCCAGTAGGATTGAACCTGCATAATATCATCATAATCAAGAAAAAACTTTCACAAAGCCTGAAACATGTTATCGCCGGGGACGATATGACCCCCCAAATGTGATTCTATATTTCAATACGATAAAGGCAGTCATGCATGAACTCCTAGCCTACGTTTGGTGCCTAGGATTGGATTGAATAATTTACTATAGATTCAAGATATGTTGTCCAGGTTAAAGGTATTAGAAGATGAATTAGTCATGAAAAAAAACTTATTCCTTTCAGTCCTCACAAAATGGTAGGATATAAGGAGAAGAATAGGAACAATAGTTGAAGAAGGAAGTGAGATCATACCAAAAACAAGGAGAAGAACCATTGGACCAATATTCTTGTCTCTAGCCATCCCTTGCTATGAGTATGGAGAGGGTGTAGACCTTGGCCTACTTATACCAGTTATTGGAAATAAAAAATAAACAAGAATCTTCCATCTCCTACGGGGAATCAAGTTAATTATTTTGGTCTGAACACACCAATATGATCAGCCTAATCAAAGTTATATCCAAAAAGTCAGAGAGCTTTTGAATTCAAATGAGCTAGGTGTTATGTATGACTTTAACAATAATACATACGTATAGGTTGAACGGTGGAATTAATAAACAGTTGAATGGCTAAATGGAATAGAAAGTCCACAATGGAGGGAAATGAATGATTATCAATTACGCACTCACATTAGATAATCACTATCTTTATTTGTCTTTTAACAAAGCAATTGTTTACTCTGAAAATGTCAACAAAGCCCTAGAGCAGACTTTGGAAAAATGTGAATTGCGAGCGAGCCACTATTAGTAATTAATTAATTCTAATAGACGAAAATAAATATAAATAAATAAAAAGACTTGTGCACCAAGTAAACTGATTCTAATTAAAAGATTGTAAACTGAATGATAAACTATTCAATTGAGATTCTTTTCTATGTCTTAAGACAAATAAGCACTTTATAATTTCTCTAATACAATGGAAGAGGCAATAAAAGTAAATAAAAACAGTGAAAGCAAGTAAACAGATCGACCAGAACTACAAGTTGCCACCACCTTGTATAAATTCTGGTTCAAAGCATAATTAAGGAATAGGTGGAAATTGGAATTGATCCTGAGACCAATTGTTGATTTTGGAATTGATCACCTTTTTGGTGTATTTTGCTTGGCTATAAATAGGCGAAATATCTTGTAGTCATCTCATGAATTATTAAGGGAGAATAATTTATTTATTCAAGGAATTATCCCTTTGACAAAGGAGATGGATGAGAATATGAAAGATTGTATGCAACCAATCTTCCTTAGTTTGTGGAGATAAGCTTTATTTTAGCCCCAATAATTAGCTAATTAAATGAGTATTTATTCAACATAATTAATGTGACTTAGAACAAGTTTGACCCTTTTTTTTTTTTTTGGTTACAAGGCAGGCAGAAGCCAGAAAAGAAAAAAAAGCTAACAAGGCACAGCCCTACTTTGGGCTCTTCCTAGATCATCATCTAGCAACAAGCTTGAGAGGGAGATAGGAGCAGACTTGTAGTTATGAAGCCCCAAGGGTAACTGATACCCCAAGTTAGCAAGGTGATCAGTTGCTCTATTTTGCTCCCTGTAGATATGAGAGACAAGTTGTCTTGAAATTATTTCCACATGACATTTATTTTGATTTCCACATGATGTCACCAGAGTGGTCTTGAAATTATTCTGTAATGAACTTTTTTATGTAGTTTCTTTTTACATTGCAACAAGTGCAAGACCAACATGGAGTAAATTTGAAGGCAAAAAAAAACATGGAGTCATTTAAATTTTTTGACTCTCGAGTGGAAATGAATAGTAAATTTTTTACGAATAGGGAGGGACTAGATTTCATGTGCAATATATCAAGCAAGAAGGAAAAAGCTTGGCTCCTTCAAAATTGAAGAGGAGCTCCTCCTAACCAATGTGGTTTTGACATATGTTAATTTTTTTTAAATATTTTTTTTCTTTTTTCATGAAACTTTGTCAATGTTGCTTGAATTTAACAAGTGTCAAAACCCCACTGGTTGTAAAGAGGAGATCCTCCTTAATTTTAAGCCTTTATAATCAATATAATTAATTGATAATTTAATTCCTTTTACTATTTCCACAAGGAACTACGTAGAATAAATGTCAGAATTATCAGCATGCCCTTGATGGAAGCAAATATGAAACTCAGACATCGAAGTCTGTTTATTATTATTATTATTATTACTGGCAGCATTAATATGCTAGCTAAGGGGAAACCATAATTATTTATTTATAGGCACACCTATATATATATATATATATATATATATATATATATATGTAATATATTATATATGTATATAGAATATATATACATATATTATACATGCATAGTTTAAATGTATATTTTCTCTATAAGAGATTAAAGTAAAATATCGTTTGTAGAAAAAAAATCGTATTCATTTTATCATGCGTAAATTATCTCTATAAGAGAAAAAATCCAATGTTCAAAGCTGATGGTTAGAGGCATGTCCAGAGTTCATAACATAGAAACCAAATATTCATTATCATCCACTTAACGTTGCTTTGCATCAACAAACTCATTTAATATTAATGATAATCCATACCTGTCAAATCAAATATCATTGTCAGTTATATTTTATTCCATGGGCGGATCCAGCTAAAAGAGATTATAAAATAAAGATTTGTTTAGAAAATGATGTTAATCAGACGGCCCTCACAAAACAAAGCTCCTATTTACAAACAAAAAAAATCCTTCCACCCACAAAGTTTAAAAGATCACAACAACGACCCGTTAAAAGAGAAGAGAGAAGGGGTTTGGATCCTTTAAACAAGAGGTCCTGGGTTCGATCCCAGACGCTTGCGAATAGAGCAGACTTTGTTGGGAGAGGTCCCCGCTTTGCGCCCGACAGTACCTCGAGGGTTAGTCCCCGCAATCGCGCAGGGTCAGGCCTCATCATTTGGCCCGCGGGCTCATGGGCTTACGGGGGCCCGCCCGGCCCATTGAAAAAAAGCCCGGCCCGGCCCGTTATGGGCTTTGAGAGGGCCCGGCCCGCTTGGGCTTGGGCCGGGCTTAGGTGTTTGAAGTCCGGCCCGGCCCATAGGCCCGGCCCGATTAAGCCCATGAAAGCCCGACCCGGCCCGCCCACAAAAGCCCGGCCCGTTAGGCCCGCATACATATATAATTATGTATAAATAAGGGTTTAGAATTAGGATTACATCACTTGAATGACAAATCTCCCTCTTTAATTTTTTTTTGTGTGTTACTTGTTATAAAAATTGTGTTTGTTTCCATTGAATTCTACTCATTCCTAGTTTATAATTGGATGATTAGCACATTAATTTGTGTCATTTATTAATACAACAATTATATATATATAATAAGACAAACAACATATCATATCACCAAACATAATCATACCACCAAATATAATCATATTTTTCTTTAACACATCACCAAATGATGAGCACAAAATTAATACAAGTTTTATCCTTAAATTTATAGTTGTTAGTATTTTCTTTTGTTTTATGTAAATCTATTAGAGTATTTATATTGGTTTTTTCCAATCTATTAGAGTATTTTCTTTTGTTTTATGTAAATCTATCAAGGAAATATGCTCAAGACAACGTGAAAATGTGATTACATACAAAAACATGAAAATGCATACATAAATTTAAATTTTCAATTTTGTTGTAGCATAATTTTTTTTTTTTTTTACACTTATTATTTTTTAGGCCCATTTTGGCCCGGTCCGTTGGGCTTAGCCCGGCCCGGTCCGATGGGCTTTTTCAAGCCCGACTCATGAGATGGGCTTGGGCTTTGAATTTTCTAAAAAAACCCGGCCCCGCCCGATATTTTCTCTCTCCTCTTTAAAGCCCGGCCCGGCCCAAGCCCATGAAATTTGGGCCGGGCTAGCCCGGCCCGGCCCATTGACGAGCCCTACGCAGGGATACCTTGGTTTTCACCAAAAAAAAAAAGAGAAGAGAGAAGGAGAGAGAGATCCGTTAAAAAAAAAGAGAAGAGAGAGATCCGTTAAAAAAAAAGAGAAGAGATAGATCACAAAACAAAGTTTTTATTTTCACTATATTTTTTTTTATTCGGATTATTTTCGCTATATAGAGATGCAACATTAATAGAGTCAATTTGAACTCTCGTCCAATTAGTTTTTTTTTTAATTGCCTTTTTTTAATTAAAAAAAAACATTGGTCCAGTATGTTTATATGGTGTTAACTTGTCATTTTGACCCACTCCATCATGTCATCTCATAATTCGAACCGTTCATTCTTTGTTTCATTATTTTAAGGAATGGTTAATCATTTAACTATGATCAAATAAACATGCAAACACAATTTTACCTATATACAATTAAATAATCACGATGCTTATTTAATGAGGAGATATAATTCAGTTTAGACTCAACTACACAAAAAAATCCTTCCTAATACCTTCTTTTCCATAATTACTTTCTCAGCTCAAGAATTCCAACAATCCATCACCACTAACATGTAATTCCCCTTTCTCAAATAATCCCTCTTTTTATCGTTCACTTTTCATATGCACGAAAATCAAATTATAATTACCAATTATCAATAATCATACTTGAAAAGAAACACTATTATAGAAAGGTGGTACATAATATGATAACCTTAATATTACCCCTAAAAATAATTATTCTTATATCCAATTTGAGGTCCTGCGTTTGAATCCCTCCACGAAATTTGTTTGAACACTTCGTATGCGTGATCATCCTGCAGTAGAAGCCCATTCTTGTTTGTTAGCTTTCAAGTGGGCCTAAATTTTATGTGTTGGGTTTCTCGCAAGACCATCTACATGTCCCTGTGAAAACTACCAACACTGCAAGCGTCAGCAACTTTGCTTCAAAGCAAAAGCTCTCTCTCTCTCTCTGTTTTCTTCGCCAACGCAACAAAGTGAGATTTTTACATACCAGATGATCCAGTTCTTCCTTACAGTTAAAAAAAATGGGTCTTCTCAACTCAGCTTCGGTTGTTGTTTGTGTTCTTGTTTGTCAACTATTTGCCTTGAATTTGGGTGATCTTGTAAGCACTGTCTCAGAGAAGTACATATCAGCAATAGGAGACCCAGGAATGAAGAACCCAAATGTGAGAGTTGCATTGGAAGCTTGGAACTTCTGCAATGAAGTTGGAATGGAAGCACCCAACATGGGCAGCCCCAGGCTGGCCGATTGTGCTGATATTGATTGCTCTCTTACTGGTATGCTCAAGTTCAGCCCAAAAATATAACTGAAGTACCCAAATGTGTTTGAGTAAATACTGACATGTTTAGAGTTTCACAAATTTCTTTTTTATGTATGCATGTATTGATGGAAAACCTATTTGGCTTATGAAGTTAATGATCATTAATTACCCTTACTTTAGCTTCTTGATAAGAGGTGAATGGTTGTCTTTGCTTTTGAGTTAGTGGGTTAATCTGTTTTGTTCTTTCTTCAATTGGGATTTTCCCACTAGATAATGTATGAGACCCATTATTATATGTAAACCAATTTCAGGCAACTTATGAGGAACTTTCATGATCAATAATAGGAATCTAGTGTACTTTTTAGTCAGCTCAGTTTTCCTTAATTGTTTCTGGATGATGCAAATTTTCACAAATCACTACACATTCTGAAATTAGTTAGAATAAAATAGTCGGTCTGTATTTTTCAATACTGTTTATGCTTCTGCTGGTTATTTCCAATAGTTTCTGGTATAATTCACGGACTTGGAACTGTCTTGATGCTAATTAAAACTTGATTCCTTAATTTGTGACCGTGGCTTGCTTCTTTCAGCACCAACTACACACATGCAGCCTGCCTGAACTTAGCTGTAGAATGATTGTACTACGAAATGATTACTTCTTTCTGTAAATTCATGTCGGTATCAATTTACCATATTTAGGACTAGTTATAATCCAAACTAATACTGAAGTACATTGTTTGTAATTTTTGTGTCACTTAGACTTTGCTTTCTTATTGATCCTTTTTGGTTTTATATTTTCTGTTATCAGATCATTTGGATAGGACCTCTCTAGGTATGGAAAGTAAGTGTGTGATTCATCACAGAGTAAATGAATCAGACAACAACTTACGGGCTGGTGATAAGTTTCCTGTAAGGGATTTTAAGCCATACACAGACCCTGACTTATATGCAAAGGAAAAGGAGCTGTATCTTGCTTCTCTATGTGAGGTTCATAATTCATCAGATCCATGGCAATTTTGGATGGTCATGCTTAAGAATGGAAATTTTGACAAAAACACTACTCTTTGTCCTGAAAATGGCAAGCCGGTAAGCAGAATTGTTACGGATAGGAATTTTCCATGTTTTGGTCAAGGTTGTATGAATCAGCCACTTGTCTACCATAACTACTCAAGATTGGTTTCTTATGGTGACCGAGCAGTGTCTTTAATTGGAGGATTTTATGGAACTTATGATCTTGATGCTGATTTGAGCGAAGGTATAGGGAAGAACTCCTACTTTTCAGTCTCATGGCAGAAAAACTTGGGCACAGGAAGTTGGATTTTCTCGAATAGATTGACAACATCTTCAAAGTACCCCTGGCTTATGTTGTATCTTCGTGCAGATGCAACAAAAGGACTTAATGGTGGTTATCACTATGACGGTCGTGGCATCATGAGAAAGGTCAGTTCCGCAGCTTTAATTCTTACTCACGGGCATTAGAATTTCACGTCCCAAAACATCTTCAAAGTACCCCTATTTCTTTTCTTTATTTTGTTTACTATTCTGACTGGCCACAAACATACAAAATGAAATCTGGATGCTCTCTTGTGTAAATCTAAATCTTGTACATTGGATCAAATCTATTTAATACTATTTCTTTGATATTTCTATTCCTCATGCGTCAATATTTCAAAGTTTGAAGTCACATCTCAAAGCATTTCATAGATAATTTTACTTGTTTTTTTCAGCTTCCAGTCTCTCCACATTTTAAAGTAAGATTGACACTAGATGTTAAACGTGGAGGAGGTTCCAATAGTCAATTTTATCTCCTTGACATAGGGAGCTGTTGGAAGAACAATGGAAAACCATGTGATGGTAATGTTCTGACAGATGTGACTAGATACAGTGAAATGATCATAAATCCAGAAACTACAAGCTGGTGTCGGCCGGATAACCTTGTTTCCTGCCCTCCTTACCATGTTACTCGTACCGGTGATATAATATATCGAAATGAAACATCTCGTTTTCCATATTCTGCTTATCATCTCTATTGCACACCTGGAAATGCTGAATTTCTGGAGAAACCGTATGACATATGTGACCCATATAGCAATCCACAAGCACAAGAACTGGTACAAATTCTTCCACATCCTGAATGGGCTGTACATGGCTATCCTGCTAAACAAGGAGATGGATGGGTTGGGGACCCCAGGACATGGGAGCTTGATGTGGGGGCCCTCTCTAGCCGGTTGTATTTCTACCAGGTATAATTCAGTATTTGCTCCAAAACTTTCATTGAGAGTTCATTTCATTAATCTTTTTGGCATTTCAGTTGGTTTTTGTTTTTTGAAATATGAAATTTGCTTTTTGGAGCTTGTTACCTTGTTACCTTGTGTCCAGTCAAGCACCCTCTGCATTAAACAGCTAAACGCATGAAAGCTGCAAACATGAAAATGCACCGCATAGATGGTTAAAGAGCCTTGCTGGGTATTATTTACAAGTCTTTGCAATTGGGATGACAAGGGGCCCCTCCGTCCATATTCACATATAAATTGAAAAAAAAAATACAAAAAAAGTTGCAAGTATAACAACACAAAATTTCCCGACAATGCATATAATTATTTCAAAATTGTTTTATTTATTTGGGGGTTTTAGTGAATAATTTTTCTTTGCCTCAAGTAGAAGCCTATATTCTTCTAGTTGACTGCAGAAACTATTTGTAGTCGGTCATTTTCTCCACTTACCTAGGTGTTCATGATCTTGTTGCACAGGACCCAGGAACAAAACCAGCAGAGAGGGTATGGTCTTCGATTAATGTTGGTACAGAAATATATGTCAGTAGCCCAGGAGAGACTGCAGAATGGACTGTAAGTGATTTTGATGTACTCGTTCCTGAAGGTGTTGAAGATGGTTCTAGCTCTTATTGAAATCTCTCCATTACTTAATCATGTAAATAGATGTCGAAGTATTTGTACATTATACATATACAAATTCCATGTACCCATACGAAATGCCATTGATACATAACTTACATTTGTTATGTGGGAGGTTGAGCAGACATGTCAGACTGATCTTGCACTTGGTTTTTGCCATTTTGTTTGAGTTTTGGTTTTTTATATATATTGAAATCAATGGAAGATCCAATTGGGGCTTTACACATTTCCCAATTGCGTGGTTAAAATTACATTACTAAACTATTCAACCTTTACGCTCATCTCATTGAGAGAGAGAGAGAGAGAGAGAGAGAGAGAGAGAGAGAGAGAGAATCCACCACAGCCTAAATAGTTATAATTACAAATAAATCAGCACCCACAAAATACAAACGTCATCAAACATCCGAGTGGTGTTGCTCATTCTGCGGTTACGTTTTCAGTGACTTGTAATGATTCTGAGGCTAAGTTTTATCTATTTTTTTGTTTTTTTTTTGTTCCATTCCAGAGTCGATTAGCTGCATATGAGATGAGTAAGAAGTAAACCCCCACTTTTTAAAATACATAAATGGGGAGCTCCAAGAACAGGAAAAGTCTCTGGTTATCAAAAAAAACCATACGTGAGAGTTTCCCTTCGGAAAAAAAGATGGCTTGTCATCAAACGTCCACTAAATACAGATTCTGCTTGCGAAAGGTATGCTGATTAACTAAAGGTCGAAAAGTATCTCTCTCGACATGAGGAAATTCAGAGGTAAAACTTTTCGTCAATAACCGGCAAAATCAATCCATTGCTGCTGCCCATGCGCCTGTCAAAACCAACAATACAATGGCAAAAATCATAAGCACTTACAAGGGAATGTGGATTGCAAATCATATCCGCATTCTAATGAATATATCAGTAAAAATTCCTAATGCATGTTCTAAAGCTTTATAATTCATGCAAATTAAGCCTACAATCATAAAAATGAGACCCAATTATAAATCCAAAGTCACCTTACTATGAGTACCAGTAGATTTTTAACATCCTCATTAACTCAAACACCATGTTATGTCAAAATTGAATGAATGGAAGCTCTAAAGGACGCATTTAATTAACGGGGGAGTTTTACAAGTGCAAGACAGCCCCCTCACATCACTTACATATTCAATCAAGGAAGACCACAAAGAGGATTATAACCGAGTCACTGCAGCAAATGAAAGCATAGAATTAGATTTAAACATAACAACATTTCTAGATATAAATTACGGAACTTAAAACTGAGCCTCACCATAGTGTGCAGTGGCATTACTCTAAAAAGTAGGGCCATCAAGTGTTTCTAATTCCATATCAATCAGAAACATTTTCTGCATCAGTAATTCCACAACACCATCAGTAACCCACACACTTTTATATTAGAAGTGATTCTGAGTGTGATGTCTCTGTTGAGCTCTTTGTACTCTCCAGAAGACGGATTGATGCGCCAAAAACTGCCATTTTCTCCGTCAAGTTCTTCATGGCCTCATGCTTGTTTGCCAGTGCCATAAGAACCTTGATCCTTCTGAACGAAACATTACTTGGCTTATGCCCCTTTTCTACCATCTGCAAGAAGCACCTTTCTGCTTCCATTAGTTTTCCCAAATCACAAAGCAAATCAAACAGCACGTCAGATACCAATATATAAGAAACGAAACCCTTCTCAACCATATCATTCCACAGCCGCAATGCCATATCCGCCTTTTCTTGCCTCCTAAACAACCTAAACGACCATATTTTTCTTAGGGTGTGTACTGAGCCTTTTGGTCAAAGAGTCTACTTTCAGTGCCACCTCTCTCGTTCCCATGCATGCGTTATTTATTTATCTCTTTTCATTTAACTTTTTTGAATTTTATGTTTATACCTTTTTCTTCATTCCTAAGCTACATTCGTTGGTCTGGCAGGCGCAGTTTAGGATCACACAACTGCAGTTGTGCTTGAGTTCAACCACGCATCACGAATAGTGAAGAAACTCAAACTAGTTGGTCACTGTTGGAAATTGGCTCAAATGTAAAAGAATTTTGGAGTTGCCCATGTGAGTCAAAGTTAGTTGCCCATGTGAGTAAATGTTGGCTTACTATGAGGTCAAAAAGGGTGGATTGTTTGGTAGCCATCCATTGGTAAGTTTGGTAGCCAACAAATGAATAGTTGAAGCTTGCATTCACACTCTTGCATCTTTGGCTATAAATTGGAAGCAAATGGTTCCATTTGAAGCATCCCACCAAGTGTTGAGTAGAAGAGGAAAATAGCAAAGAAGGCATCTTGCCAAAGAGAGAAACATTTCTCTCTAGTTGTTCTTTGCTTTGTATTATTGTTTTCTCTTCAATTGTTGTGAGAGTGAGACTTGGGTGTATTTGGGGCTTTGGGTTTTCTTGAGTGATAAACACTTTGTATACTCTCTTTGATTATAGTGAATTACTCCGTCGTCTCCAAACTGGATGTAGGCATTGCCGAACCAGTATAAATCTTGGTGTTCTTGTTGGTGTTGTTTTGTGTTCCATTTATCTCCTGCCAGTTGTTGTTTATTTTTCATTCGCAATTGGTTGACGCTTCCGCACAACAGTGTTTGCCCAGTGATTTGCTGCAGCAGGAAGCTGCAATGTGCAATGCAGTGTCATCGTCCGCCGTCAATGGATGATCCAATATTTGCGGATGGTCCTTGTAGTATTTCTTCATGCCTTCCCAGTCATTCTCCATGGCTAGAGCATAAGGAAGTTTCAATTCTTCAATTTTATTTGCTCCCTTTTCATCCTTATGAAGAACCTCTACTGTATTCCAATACTTGTTTTTGTGTGCCATCTCTGGGTACTCCAGCCAGCTCTACCTTCTCCTGCTGTGTGGTGGTTTTCGCTTTGTTTTATAGCTATAGGCTAGATGCTCCTTCTTGCACAAGAACTTTCCTACTTTCGCTTTACTTACATTGTAGAGGAATATTGTACACTAACAGAAGTTGAAAAATATAAAAGCATAATGTATAAAAGCATAAGGTTTACTATCTATCTGTATGCTTGACCGATCCGAATCTGCCTTTGCTGATTTAATTGGTTTCCGATTGTAAATTCTGTGAACCGAGTGTGTGCGCCACAAGAATGTCTCCCCGCAGGATCTTGAAGTGACTTGCACGGGGTGACGTCCTTGATGTCACTCGTTTTCATGAACCTCTACAATGGGAGCAGGTAGAAATGGAGGATTAAAAGAAAAGTGGGCCTTGCACATGATACTCATCACTTAAGGTAAAAAGACAAAAAACACCCATGCCACATTTTCGAAACAAACAGAATTATGAATGGAGATGACGGCATGAGGCAAAGTGGAACATCGAATCTTGGTAAGGGTGCAATTCTGAAGCAAATGTTGCAAAATCTGGAGATGATGATTTCGAGTTTGCTTTGGCTAGTTCATATGCTGATGGTCACTCCGAGGAGTGGATTTTGGATTCAGGTTGCACCTATCATATGTGTCCCATACGGGAATGGTTTTCTAGCTTCGAGGAGCTGGATGGTGGAGTTGTTTTGATGGGCAATAATAATGCTTGCAAAACACAAGGGATAGGCAAAATCTGTTTGAAGATGCATGATGGAACAGTCAGAGAATTGAGTGATGTTCGGTATGTACCGGATATGAAGAAGAATCTCATCTCATTGGGAGCTTTGGAATCCAAGGGTCTCAAGATCACCATGGATGGTGGAGTTCTTAACGCTGTGTACGGGGCATTGGTGGTGATGAAAGGTACAAGACGAAATAACTTGTATTTCTTGCAGGGGAGTACAGTTTTTGGTGGAGCAGCTATCACCAAAGCTGCTGACGCAGATAGCACAGACACCACGGAGTTATGGCATATGCGTCTTGGGCATGCTGGTGAAAAAGCGTTGCAAGGATTGGTGAAGCAAGGCTTATTGAAGGGTGCAAAGGCATGCAAATTGGAATTTTGTGAACACTATGTGCTTGGTAAGCAAACTAGAGTGAAATTTGATACCGTTATTCACCACACTAATGGCACTCTAGATTATGTTCACACTGATGTTTGGGGACCTTCCAAGAATGCACCTTGGGGAGGTTGCCATTATTTGGTCTCCGTTGTTGATGACTTCTCTAGAAGAGTATGGGTGTACACCATGAAGCGTAAAGATGAAGTCTTGAAGATATTCCTGAAGTGTAAAGAGATGATTACGCAAAGCGATCGAAAGATCAAGACTCTCAGATCAGACAATGGTGGTGAATATAGGTCTGATCCTTTCTTGAAAGGTTGTCAAGATGAGGGTATTGTGAGGCACTTCACGGTTAGGGAGACACTGCAACAAAATGGGGTGGCGGAGCGCATGAACCGTACTTTGCTTGAGAAAGTTCGGTGTATGTTGTCTAATGCTGGATTAGGCAAGGCGTTTTGGGCTGAGGCAATTAGTTATGCAAGCCATCTCATTAATCGGTTGCCGGCTGCTGCGAACGAGGGCAAAACGCCCATGGAGGTATGGTCTGGTAAACCTTGTACTGATTACAAGTATTTACACATATTTGGTTGTTCTGCTTACTACCATGTCAGGGAAAGCAAGTTGGATCCAAGAGCAAAGAAAGCTCTGTTTATGGGCTTTAGCACTGGCATGAAGGGATACCGACTCTGGTGTCCAGATGAGAAGAAATTTGTTGTAAGCAGAGATGTGACCTTTGATGAGGCTGCTATGGTTAATCAGAACAAGCATGAAGGTGAAATTGAAGCTACCAAGACCATGAGTAGTTCAAAGCAGGTGGAGTTACTAAAAACTCCAGTTGTTCCAGTAAGGTCTGATGAAGAGGAGGCACCTACCCAAGAGCCTCCACAGCAACAAAATTGGGTGTATGCCAAGAAGATGGAATCCTTGGAAAAGGATAATGTAAGATTCGAAGCCAGATTGGTAGCTAAATGCTATGCTCAGAAGGAAGGCATTGACTACAATGAGCCAGAAGGTTTTAGTGTTGCTGGAAAGGAAAATTGGGTTTGCAAATTGCAGAAATCATTGTATGGCTTGAAGCAGTCTCCAAGACAATGGTACAAGCAATTTGATAAGTTGGAGAAGCCAGTTTCGTTGTTCAAGTTTAAGCATTGCTTGGACTTGATTGGAATTCGTAAAATTTGTTGATTGCCCCTTGGGGGGATTGGGAGACGACCATTGGGAGTGTTACTATGAGAGTTTGTTACATGTTGAGCCAA